AAAATGTGAAAGAAAACAAACCATTAAGTCCGGAAGCTCTTCAAATCCTGTTTAGTGTCCAGGGAGTGTTTACAAAAGGAATCTCATTTTCATGTCCCAGTGCACCACAACAGACTGCTTGAGATGGGTGAAAAGGTTAATCTGCTTTATCTTGATAGTTTTGTTATTTTTTTTCTTTTTTAACTATCTCACATACTTCAAGGTTATGGCAGTTGTAAAACTTAGTATACATACATTTTAAAATCTCTTGTAAACTGTGGGTGGATAAATCACTTGTTTCACATATGAATTATTCTCAAAAATTAAGCAAGCAAGCTAGAAAAGTGATCAAGACCATTATTTGTTTTAACCTAACGATAAGAAGTGCAAATAATGAAAAAAATAGTTTGTAAAAATACAGACTTTTACTACTTGACACAGCCTATCGGAAGAGCTATAGCACAATCAACATGTACTGTATACAAATAAAATGTAAGACTTCCTCATAATCCATTTCAAGGTCAGATAAAATGCTTTTTTTAAATATCAGTCAAATGCTTGGACTAGACATAAAAATTGATGTAGAAATGATGAAATGTTTAGAATTCTTATTTTAAGAATGAATGCATCATCTTAGAACACAATTCCAACAAAACAGACATGGCCAATTGACGGTAAGTTTCTGTATACTTGATGGGCATTAAAGATTATTCATGATTTCACAGATTTGTCTTGGCCCCTTGTGTGTTGTTAAGAGAGTCGCTTCACAGAACGAGGGTTCCGGGTTTGAGTCCCCCAGGGGACCGGGACCTTTGTGTGTCTGTGTGGATTCTCTCCGGGTACTCTGGCTTCCTCCCACTGTCCAAAAACATTCATGTTAGGTCAGTTCGACATTCCAAATTGCTCTGTGAGTGACTGTGAGTGTGAGTGGTTGTTTTTATCTGTGTGGCCTTGCGATGGACTAGCGATCTGTCCAGGGTATACCCTGCCTCTTGCCCGTTGTCAGCTTGGCGACCCTGTTTGAAATAAGTGGTATAGAAAATGGATGTATGTCTAGGCCGCCATGTGATGTGTTTTATTCATGATATGGCTACAGGGATAAACACATATAAAAGCAGTATCAAATTACAACTCTAACAAGAGCAAAGACACTGAATGGCAGAGATAACTTCAGATTGCAGCTCAATCTTGATCATACAGGAGATGTTAGTATTGTTTGATGAATGCCTCATAAGTTTTTATTGTTTTAACTAGGAAATGTTGTCAGTTTATTGGACTACTTGTACTGCTGTTCATTACTTTATGCTATTAGAGATTAAGTTTGATTAGTTATTCACTTCATACTGCTCATGTAGACTGTTCAAGACTAGAATCAATTCACCACAAAATTACCAACATATCCAGCTGCAAAGATTTGTGAACTTTACACAATCTAGAGGCAACAGTTCTTTATATTACTTTTTTCCCAAAAAAGATATTCATGATTTCAATAATGGGAAATATGTAGGAATCACACAAGCTCCAAATGAATTATCCCTAAGTAATTTATAAACCAGTAAAAAACACCAACAGCATGAAATATCAAAAGATAAGAAAATAATCAAGCTTAACTGCCACATTTAATAGTCTATTGTTGCTATTTTTGAGTAAACAACACAGTTTTGAATTGTTAAGGGTCCATATAGCATGTTTATGATGGTAAGTCTAAGTATAAATCCTATGCTCTGACAGAAAATTACATTAATCAAGAACAGTTGCTTATAGTTTATGCTTTACTAAACCATGCTTTCTTCACCTGAACATTAACTGAGCCCTAAATAAACAAATATTATCATCAGTGCCCTGTCAAAACAACAATATAGTATATCTGATCAACTCAATTTACTCCAAAGCAGATCAATGGCTTAACACAGCGCATATCAGTTTGGTATTTCTGATCAGTATCCAGTGCCATTCTTTTTGACATTTTAGAGAAGACAAGATTAAATCAGAGATGTTTATGTAATTATTTTTTCTGCTTTTCTGAGATCCGAATTTCTTTTTATTAATTAGTGTCATAAGCTGATTTTTCTGTTATGTGAAAAACACTAAAAAGAAAGAACAAACTTAATTCAACATTGATAAACAACCCCATAAATGACCTTCATCTGACAAAGTTTTATTATATCTTTGGAAAGCAGTGGCTATAGGACAGAGACTAGACACAAAGTTTGTGTTTACATAACCGTCTTGCTGTAATGGTGCTCTCATGTTACTTTAATGCAAAAAACAGATGGAGTTTCAAAGAGCGGCTTGTCTGGGTTCTGCTTAACCCTTTATAGTCAGGCCACGCTGCAGATCGTCATTGGAGCAGGAAATTAAACATTTTTAAAGTTTAATGTCTAGAGTACAACAAATGTATAAACAAATACTTTTTAAGGCCTTTGCTGTTTATTTTTCCTACAACAGCAAATTACAGAAGCAGTATTGAAAATAAGTTTTCTTTTCTTGTTCTAGTAAAAAAAAAAAGGAAGAGAAAGAAAAAATCGGCACAAAATCCAAAAGACAGTACAAACTGAAGCACTAATACGAGATGTACATCTAAGGAGGGTGACATTTATGTTGAAAAAGCTTATTGGTCTTTTTCGACAATGAAAACATCTCAATTTTTTTACATTTCAAATCTTCTGAAACTATGTATAAAAAGGAAAGAAACATGTTTTTTTCATTTCGACTTCTTTTTTGTTTAAATGAACGTTACAAACACACCAACTTTTTAAATCTATTTTCAGTGCAACATTGTTTCTTCTGAGTCCACACTACAGTATCCTTTTTCTCTAGTTGATGTAGCTACACTCTGAGTGGGTCATTGAATCTGAAATGAACAAGGTAAGAAAGTGCTCATCACAACACAACATACAAAGTACACAGATTTAAAAAATACCCAGCATCATCCTTTTCAGTACCAAGAGTTTGATTGTTTGATTGTGGTGTGGAAAACCACTGAGTTCCAGGACCCACAGGCCCTTTGTCCTTATATATTTGTCCTTATGTTCTTTAAAAGTAGTTCTGTTGGATTCTTTTTCCCTTTGAGTGTTTAGTGTTGGGATTATCTCATTTTTCCATCTGCAAACAAGATTCTCAACAAAAGCTTGAAGAGTTCACATCACAGCGAAATTTGCATTTCTCCTTTTCCTTTTTTACTTGAAATGACAGTACAATAATCCATTACACTTTGCTCTTCTCAACAAGTGTCCTGTGAATCCTGACTCTTAAAGAGATCATGGTTGTTGTTTTTTTGTGAGAGATAAGCTTCAATAAAACAATGGCCCATTGATGAACTGTGGTCTTGTAGAATTCTGTGTATTGGTGAGAACCCCAACAAAGAAGGGGCAACCATCCTTTGGTAAAGCCACTGAGGGAGGCCAGGTGATCTGATTCAGGTGATTCCACTCGATCCCTTGCTGTACCAGTGTCCCATCCCAATGACATCAGCTCTGACATCACAAGATTATGGCTGCTACATGTAAAACGCGTAAAACTCTTTGAGGCCCACAGATATAGACCTTACGCTACACTATGGCACGTGGACAGTATAAACTGGGTTTATCATGAGACACATGCACCTGGCTAAATATTGATAGCACCAATCTCCGGTAATGAATCAATCCCTCTGAACAAATTTATCTCACAAGGGAGTAATAAAACAAAGTGCATTCAAGCTGAATTTTCCGGATAGCACTTCTTCAGTTAACAATCCACAGTGATGTTAGAGGTAAAAAGCTCCTAGGTAAAGCAAAGCAGTGATGATTGATGCATTTTTCTTTTGGTATCCTTAATAGATATTTTATATATTTAATTGAATATGACCAATTTGACCAAGCCCACAAAAGAGATATGATGAAGTATGAACTATGATGATGCTTCAAAAGTACTCGTGTGGAATTCCTCTCCTCAGCCTATTTTAATGTGTACATGCAATACCTTTTATATTGTTCATCCTTTGGTGGTTTTTGTTTTAGATGGTGTTTCAGTGATGGATGGCTTGAATGCACATTGAAATCGCTGAAACATCAGCAGCATAGAGTTTTGCTTGTCTGACCAACAAACCAAAATCATTACTGCACCTTCCATAAAACAGTCAAAACATTGTATTTACACACAAATCCATGAAAAAAGGGATACTGCAGCTTTTTTTCATTTTTACTTTCTTAAAAAGGGCAATAAAATATATTAAAACGTATTTACATTATGTGGTTTTTGGACAGAAAACGAAAACAGACAATAAAAAAAACATTGTGATGAACTACGATCCTGTTTTGCAGATTATGAATCCCTGTATCCTGCCATCACAACTTAGATGACAACCAATAGTGATATAAAACAAAACAAATAAAAACACCCACAGAGGAGGCAAACCAAAAGGTGCTAAAGGCACTGTCAGAACCATACATTGCAGACACATTGGGACCCTCACTTTATAGTGATAAAGGTCAAAGGGAAATAGGGACATGTTTCAAGACTCTGTATGCCATATCATGTGTCAATTCTACAGTTGCTGGATATGGTTCATTAAGAATTTTAATACATCTCTTTTAAAAACTTGAATAGAAACAAAAACCTTTATGGACTGATTCTAACCCCCCCCCCCCCCCCCCCCCACCCTCACCCCCCCAAAAAGATAAATACTTTTAGCATCATTAATAAATTGGTCTCAACACCAGCATCCGATTGTAAAAATGAATGAAAATCATAATACAAAATTAAAATAGAATCTAAATCATCTGTACATTTTTTTTCACGTCATTTATTTGTACACAGTGTCCCCTACTGGTAGTTTCTTTTTACTGCAGCTCCTGAGAAAAGTGTGGATCAGTCCAAACCTCCCACTGGTTCCTGAACCTGTCCCTCATCCAGTAAGTTGAGGGTGTTGGCAGTCCTGTTGAGCCGACTCACAGAAATATGAGAGGATATGCCTGGAGACAGTCTTGTGCAAGATCCACCTATCATACAGCCACATCAATTTCAGCAGTCACTTCTCATGCCTCTGAGTATGAGCTCTGAACATTAAGTTTGTCTTTTTTTAGCTTAACACCATCAACTAGTTCAAAGTTATAGTTTTCCAAAGCAGATAAGTTCCTCTCTGACATGGCTCCATGCGAGCAGGCGCAATACAAAACAACACCACAGATGGCCCCAAGGAAAACCCCCAGGGCGGACATGGCAATGATAGTAATGAGGATGGGGTCAAGAGTCTTTAACATATTCCCTGCTCCGCTGATCTGGTCAGTTTCAACAAAGTCGGGATATTCTGTGATTTCCTCAACTGGAGTGGGAGAAACAGAAACAGAGACATAGATTAAGATTGCTGCAATATCTAAAGCAAATGTTTCTGGAAAACACTTCATGTGACATTAAAACTTCAAAATAAACGACTTACGGATTTCATTGAAATTGTCTTCAGGTAGCATCGGTTCAGTGGGCACATCAGGATCTTAAAACAGAAAACTTAATCAAATAGACTGCCCCAAGAAAATCATCCAAAAGAAGATCAATATCATCCCATTTCAAATCAGTAATTGATCAGAGGTACTGCAACTGTGACCTCTAAAAGCCGCACCTTTGCAGTCTTGCGCACTGAGTCCACTGAGAATCTTAATGTCATCCACAGCAATGTCTCCCCAACTCTTTCTCTCCACAATACCTTCAATCACCACCTTAAAAAAAGAACAGAAATTTTTGAGCAACATTTCAGGACTACATTCAAGATCCCCAATGTAATGCTTTAGAAAATAAGATAGAGATGGACAAGTGGGTAATACATGAGAATTTACCTGATATGGTTTGTTTGTACGTGGCACAGGAACACGACCTTCCCTCCAGCGGTTGCCTTGGTGACCACTAACCATCCACAGTAGGATGTCAGCAGGTCCATCAACTGTCTGTTTCCGCTGTTTGATATGTAGTGTACCAATATGCGACCCAAACATATGATACCAAAAGGACACACAAAGGTCAGAGTCTGGGGAACTGACCATAGGGCTAACCAGTCGAGCCACCTCAGTTTCTTGATGACTAGTTGCTAATGTGTAGATGAAATTTCCAGAACCACCTGTTGAATAAATAAATAAGAGAGTTTACACAACCAAAATGCAATTTTAAGAATCAGGTTACACGGTACAATCTGTGAATCTGAGAATGGTGCACACCTGTGTGGTCCATATTGGGTCCAGTGTTGAGAGTGGGGGTGCCACTGGACTGGATTTGCCACCTGGAGCCAGTGTCCTCTGATGTCCAGCTGCAGAAGGATGGATCGCTGGCCAGGCCAAAGTCACAGGCAAACCACAGAAAAGCTGTAAATGTGAGATGAATCAGACTTTTGTAACTGTAGATCACATTTATTACAAAAAGAGAAAAGTTCGTATCTGTCCAAATAATGATCCAAGGACCTATGATGTGAATGTGTGTGTGATTGTCTTTCTCTGTGTGGCTCTGGACTGTGTGTTGGACTGACGACCTGTTCAGGGTATACCCCGCCTCTCGTCCATTGTCAGCTAGGATAGACTCCAGCCCCCTTTTGACCCCGTTGGGAATAAGCGGTATAGAAAATGGATGGATGAAATAACTGCAGCATCATGCTTTTTATTATAACCAGATACAAGCACTAGAGGGCACCAAAGTCTTGTGGAATAAAAGCTTCAAGTTCTATTTGTTTAAGGGAGAGAGCAGTGAACTCAAGATTGGTAATTTGCTTGAAATATATGATCATGACATGTTATAGAATGAAGACTGTTGGCTTTGCAAAATTATCTCTTTCAACCAATGTAACAGGGTGTATAAGAGAGTTACATAAAGGCATACATAACAACAGGCAAAGGGCAATGATGGGATGACAAGACAGGATATGGACATGATGTCCAGTTGAGACAGAGACATTCATACCATCCCTCTGAGAGATAAGGATTTTAATGAGTGCAGGGATTTGAGATTTGAAGACAGCTATGTTAACAGTGTTGGGGCCCCTTTCCAACAATGCAATCCTCAATAGACACGTGCCGTGCTGAAAATGTCCCCATAGAGGCAAGAAAATCTGTGGAAGTATTGGAGTTTTCATACTGGATAATGAAAGACTTCCAACAAACACATGAGAGAGATATATTTTGGATATTACCCATGGTTTTTGCACTCCAGCATTATATGTCTTCAGAGATACAACAAGGCTTTCTTCCAAAAAGCTAAATGTATGAGCCAGAATTCAATTTAATAATAGCAAGGTTTTAACTAGTTTCTACAGGCAACTGCTCTATTTTCCCATCAAGCACTAAGAATGGAAATCCAATATGGAAGCATATTTCAGAGTACTTTTCACATCAAGATCTCTTTACCAATGAAAATGGCATTGTTTTTTCTATTATGTTTCCAAAATTGACAGTCTTTCACTGAGGCCACCAACAATGGGAGCAAAAGGTGAACAACTCTATAACTCACTTGACCAAAATAAAAAAAAAGACTTTCCTATTGAATGTCTGTATAACATTCTTGGAGATTGGGGTGCATACACCAGCACAGATTCTGAAATATGCATAAGTTATTACTGTACAAGGTTTGAATCTACTTAAAATGTCTACTTATTCAGAGAGGCTTGGTCACTAACACACATACACCTCACAACTCATAATGCATTATCATAGCTAGTAGAGAAACAGATTGCTGACAGACCAAAGAATCAGCCGACTGGGATGGATGAGGCAGGTTGGAGCCTATAGCCTATTAGTCAAGGTCACACTGGGACACTGTTTTTCAGCTGGTTGCTGCCTCATCAACTTGTTAAAAGACATACTGTTGTGTTTGTCTGTCCGTACATGTGGCCCAAGAGGACACTTCCCTTCCTGTAGCCATCTGCATTCGGCTTTTGTGTTTTTTATGCGGTGTGCATATATGATTAGTGTGAGTTGTATTGGTGAGCTGTATTAGTGCTTATGCTGAAAAGGCCTCAACAGAGCACCAGTCCTAATCATCAGCTTGCATTTGATCACACAATCTCCTTCACTCCATTATTAGAAGCCTCTCAGGTCGATATCATAATCTTTAATAAGGGACACATACGAGGAGAGATTATGTCTTATTCAGACATTCATTAGCTAAAGTAAGCTTACAGATGAAAACATAAACACTTTTTCATAACAAAACTTTTTGCGGTTAAACAATCAGATTAAATCCATTTGCGTAATATTCAAATACATAATACAGATTCTGGAAAGATGGAGTAAAGAAAAACAGTTTTACTCACCAGGGACAGTATCCACTTCAGTAGTTGTGGTCTCTGACATCATGGTACCTGCAAAAGATGGTTACCAATATTAGCATTCAGCATTTTATACAGTTCCTTCTCAGACAAGTGCCTTCATGCACTATCCATGCAGTTTAAATCTATCTTATCAAGACATCTTTTACAAGATTAGCTTATTTTAAAAGATTTCCTCTCTTGGTTTATCTACTAAATGTGACCTATGTAATACTCTAGAAACAGACAGCTGAGATGGTGCCATGCTCATCATTGGAGACTGCTGGTTAATTGGAAGTACAGGCGGTAGTGAAGGTCAGTGAGTCACTGGGTTAATGAGGATAAGGCCAAGACAACCAAGGAAGTGAGAGTGGAAAGGAACGAGAGGGTGGAGCTTGCAATTAGTTAGAGCAGGTGGAGAAAACATCCCTCTACTGTAAGTTACTAGAGGTTAAAATAGGAGGTTGAGGAGGGAGTTGGGCGCTACAGGAGCAAGTAATTGCTAGCCTACAAATTGATGCATGCATGATCTTAAGAGTGTATGTTAGATTACAGATTGGTTGCATCAGGAGAAGCTGAGTCATTTATTTGGGGGAGTAAGGGGCAAGATAAGGCAGCTGATCGCAGTCTTATGAAGGCAATGTTAGCACCTGTCACATCGTAGTCATCACCTGTGCCACTGTGGCAGCTTGCCTGGTCATCGTCACAATCATCTGATGGGGTAGCGCTGGGACTAATTGTGGTAGGAGGGAGAGTAGGAGCTGAAAAATAAAGAAGCAGAGTGACAGTGCAAAGTTTAGATTTTAAGTTAAACATGCTTCGGTGCAATGGCAAGAGGTTATAGACTTTGGTTAATGGCTAAGTGAAAGGTGTCAAGTAAACAAATAAGTTAACCACAGATCCCATTTTTCCCTTAATTTTCCTCAGGGTGGTTGGCTGAAATCAACATTTAGCTGTTGCATAGCAGAACATTTTTGCTTTCAGGTCAATTTTATTAATCTATACATGACAGTCTTTCCATAGGTTGCTGCATGTTTTTTAAATACCTAAGTGCATTTAATATAAATGGTCTGATGTCAGAAGCAATGTGAAGTGTTTGTATAGACTTATGTATGCTGTTACACAAGAACAGATGGACACTGAATAAGTTGTTTAACGTTATGAATCGTAATGTGCATTTGTTTAAGGAATGTGGGTTGTAAATCTGCCTGAGATATAAACATATAAAAGAACTAACAAATATGTAAGAGCAGCATGCTGTCCCCTTTTGAATATTTCCCCTATTATCAAGTTGTATCAAGTGTAGTTTTAAAAATAGAGATTTGAAACCAATGTGCGGTGCTTTGGGGTTGAGTGGTTGAAACTTTAAGACACAGAAAAAAGACTTTGGATTGGCTCTAGGCAGGGCCCATGTGGCCTATCATTATAGCCCAGCTTCACCTTGGATGTGGGCAAGGACCAAGATCCACTCCACACTCCTCTGCTGCACAGCTGTCCTGAAATTTATGTTCTTTTGCCCTCACTGAATAATGATTGGGCTTCCCTAGTGGAGATGGAGGGGAAAGAATGTGGAGGCTGTTGGAGCTAGAGAGGCACAGACAGATTGCCGCAAACTGCCTGGAAAATGTGTACAGTATCTTTGAGTGTGCGTGTACAATCTTGTATGTGAGTGTATGTGTGTGAGCCAGTACTGCTCTTGCCCTCTGCTAGATGAAATATGAGGCAGATCAGCCCCTGTCAGATTCAGGGTGGGAGAGGTCAGGGATTGGGTCAATGCTGCGTCAGGGGAGCCTCTCATAGAAATAAGGATTTAGCCATTCTACTATGGCCTGCTACACATGCATACACACACACACGCGCACTCACACACACACTGCCAAGCACCTGCGTATGCGTGTGATGTATATTTTAATTTCCTGTAACCACATTTGGCAAGGTGAAAAAGGGGAAGTTCCATTGAGAACATATATATACATGAGTGTATGTGTGTATTTCGCATTAGCGCTGGAAATGAGCATTATCATCTCACTAAAGTCCCTTGAGGGGGTCCATGAGGCTAACAAGAGAAAAACCTCCCTAAAATACAATATGCAAATCCATACCCTTATATCACTGAGGTGTTTCAGAGACATATCAGCTTTAGGAGAGACAGACAAAGAGGCTTAAAAGACAAGGGTTACTTCAAACATAGAAAAGTGTTTGCAGTCCTTTGAAAGACTAAAGACAAGCAGGGGCAGTGAGAAGTGTGATCGGGGCCAGGCTGTGACAAATAGGAGGCCAGATGGGCTTTTATTTGATCCCTTCCAGAAGTGGATAGCTATGGGGACAGCTTTGATGTAACTGGGTGACAAGACAACCATCCCTTGTATGGATAAAGAGCATGAGCTAGACAGCTGTGCGCTCAACACAGGGAGCATACACCCTAGCACACACATTTTAGAGCTATGGAAAATATTTGATGTTCACCCCACCTCCACCCCTTTCATAGCCTAGGATGGTAGATTGTTCGACTATGTGAGTCATTATGAGTCAGGTGTGAAGACATGTCTGTGAGTAGAAGTACTGATATACAGTGGTCTGCAAAAGTTTGGGCAACCTTGTTAATTTCCATGATTTTCCTTCATAAATCGTTGGTTCTTAGGATTAAAAAAATCAGTTAAATATATGATATAGGAGACAAACACAGTGGTATTTGAGAAGTGAAACGAAGTTTATACCATTTACAGGAAGTGTGCAATAATTGTTTAAACAAAATTAGGCATGTGCATAAATTTGGGCACCACAAAAAAAAAAAAAAACTCAATATTTAGTAGATCCCCCTTTTGCAGAAATAATAGCTTCTAAACGCTTCCTATAGCTTCCTATGAGAGTCTGGATTCTGGTTGGAAGTATTGTGGACCATTCCTCTTTACAAAACACCTCTAATTCATTCAGGTTTGATGGTTTCAGAGCATGGACAGCTCTCTTTAAGTCACACCACAGATTTTCAATAATATTCAGGTCTGGGGACTGAGATGGCCATTCCAGAACGTTGTACTTGTTCCTCTGCATGAATGTCTTAGTAGATTTCGAGCAGTGTTTAGGGTCATCGTCCTGTTGAAACATCCAGCCCCGGTGCAGCTTCAGCCTTGTCACTGATTCCTGGACATTGGTCTCCAGAATCGGCTGATATTTGGTGGAATCCATCTGCCTTCAACTCTAACAAGATTCCCAGTCCCTGCACTGCCCACACAGGCCCACAGCAGGATGGAACCACCACCAAATGTTACTGTAGGCAACAGGTGTTTTTATAGGAATGCTGTGTTGTTTTTCCTCCATGCATGACACCCCTTGTTATGTCCAAATAACTCAATTTTAGTTTAAACAGTCCACAGCACCTTATTCCAACTTGTCCAAATGTGCTTTAGCATACCTCAAGCGGCTTTGTTTGTGATGTGGGCGGAGAAAAGGCTTCTCCAGCATCAGCATCTCCTTGTGTAAAGTGCGCGCAATAGTTGTACGATGCACAATGACTCCATCTGCAGCAAGATCATGTTGTATGTCTTTGGTGCTGGCCTGTGGGTTGACTTTGACTGTTCTAACCGTTCTTCGCTTCTGTTTATCCGTAATTTTCGTTGGTCTGCCACTTCGAGCCTCAACTTGAACTGTGCCTGTGGTCTTCCATTTCCTGACTATGTTCCTAACTGTCGAAACAGACAACTGATATCTCTTAGACAGCTTTCGGTATCCTTCCCCTAATTCATGATGGTGAACAATCGTTGTTTTCAGGTCATGTGACAGTTCTTTTGAGACTCCCATGTCGCTACTCTTCAGAGAAGGTTCACAGAGGAGGGAAACTTACAATTGCCCCCCATTAAATACTCTCTCATAATTGGGTTCGCCTTGTGTATGTAGGTCAAGGGTCACTGAGCTTCCCAAACCAATTTTGAGTTCCAATAATTGGTTCTAAAGATTTTGAAATCAGTAAAATGACAACAGTGCCCAAATTTATGCACATGCCTAATTTTGTTAAAACAATTATTGCACACTTCCGGTAAATGGTATAAACTTCGTTTCACTTCTCAAATATCACTGTGTTTGTCTCCTATATCATATATTTAACTGATTTTTTTAATCCAAAGAACCAATGATTTATGAAGGAAAATCATTGAAATTAACAAGGTTGCCCAAACTTTTGCAGACCACTGTAGGTGTGGCTATGAAGGTCATCATCTTGGTTTGAAAGTGAGCATTCCACAGTCTTCCAATGGTTTTCTAATCAACACTTGGAGTGAAAATGTCATTGCGCTTGGTAACATTGATTTTTCCAGCAGAAGATTATAACAGTGTGGAGCAAAAGCTCACTTGATAATAACTTTGCAACAGCTTTCTCAAGACATAATAGAAAATCCTATAGAGTAATCATTATCTATGTCCATTGTTTTCACTCACCTTTCATGTCACAGCCCAGGAGTTCAAGTCTTAGGCCCATCCCAGAGGGAGTGGCTCTCTCAGGATAAATTCTGATGAAACGGGTCAACAATGGTTCCACTGTCCTCAGTTCAGGAGTATCATAATTGCTGTTGCCTTCAAATATCTGTCAAAAAGTACAAGATAAATACAATCTCGCATGTCAATAAGTAGAAAATCCACAAAATGACACTAAAATATTGAGTGATAAGTGAAGGTGGAGAGTAAAAGGGAAACTGCTGAAACAAAGACAACCAGGCTTTCATCTGGCTGACATCTGAATGACAGTTTATGTGAGTAACACAGCATCCCTCAAATGCTGAGCAAGAGGGGCAATACATTTGGGAGAGGTTTTAGATGTTGGATAGATGCAAGTAAAAATCAACATAGTGCATGAATAAAAGTAAATTAATGGCTGCGATCGCATGAAAAAGGCTGGTGAGTTTTAGATGGTTAGAATGTCTAGATGAAACCTCCTAACTCAATTCATAGATCAACCATCAGTCCATCTGCTTCAGATTTATGTCCTGGTAGGGACACTTTTAATTGGGGGCAAGTTGTTGCAGCTCCTCATGAAAGAGATTGTGGCTGCATATGAGAGTATATGCATTTTGAGAAGAAAGTGGAGTTACACATGTGGGTAGTGACACTGTATGGATCTTTGGTTACTTCTCTAAGTCGTGCATTATTTCATCCCTAATCATCATCTTTGTGCTCATCTTTCCCCTCGACTCCCTCTACTTCTGCTGTCTCTCTGGAGAGGTTTCACTATCTATCGAGGGCCTTGAAAAGTAAGTGTTATGCAGAATACAAGCAAGAAAAGAGAACTGGAGAAAAAACACTTGAGATGCTTATCCAAATGGCAAAGAATGGCTGAAATTTACAAACTATAGATATTGAATAACCATTGAATTAAAATAAGTATTGAATTACTCATAACTGCAAGGTAACCACTAGCAACAAAAGGAATTAATGTTATAATAATCATCAATGTTCGCATGTATCTAAATGATTTTTAAATTAAACTAACTAAAATCCTTTTTAGAATATACCAAGGAAAGACCTGTATTTTGTTTGTGCCAGAAATCTTATTGTTGTTTGTAAATCATTCCCCTTGTGTGTCTTCAAATAAGAGCTTTTTAATTAGTTCAAATATAATCTAATACACTCATTTTTGTCACACTAAATGCAATTCTTTTTTGTGCACTTTCAAAGGAAGGTACATAATGAAAAACCCACCTTTGGTTTGTTCCCACTAGTGTCAAACACCATCCTCCAGTCAGAGCCATTGCTGCTGTAGCTTAGACGGAATTTCTTCATGAATACTTTGTTTTCACGATGCTTTCCTCCTTGGATGATCAAACCTCTCACAAGCTTTTCTTCACCAAGATCAACTTGCAGCCATTCATTTGTGAAGGGCTGTGGCTGTGGCAGCAGTGTCCACCCTGTCCTGCTGGTTAGCAGCCGGGCATTCTCTGGTACCCAGCTCCGGTCTGTATGAGAGGATGCAGTGATCTGGTTGTCTGCGATCAAACCTGACACCATACCCAGCATGCCTGAACATGGGTACTCTAAGGGACAAAAAAAAAAGTGCTTAGTTTTGAAAAATAAACTGAGAGTCTGTGTCAAAGAGCATGTCCAACATTTCTATATTACTGTGATACCAATCTAGTTTGGCAAGTTTGAAGTTGATATGTAGCCAGAGTCAACGTGAGTAGGACCATTGCAGTCTAAACTCTTGGCGATCTTTCTGTGATCTCCCCTTCATACTTTGTTTCTCTTTGTCTTCAGATCTCATGCATACTAATTCTATTGCCTGAAGCAGTTGTCTCCAGGCAGCCAATTAAAACCCTCCTCTCGGTTGGTGTTTCCACCTACTGCATTCTGGGAGCTCTTGTTCTTTTCAAATTTCTACCCCTCCCTGTATAGACTCACATATACCCTTACACAAGAACAGATTTTCTTTGTGTTTCATCTGCAGCACTTCTGCTCCACAGCTGTCAACATCTGTGGGACCCCATTTTTTAATACCTTGCTGTTTCCTGATCACATACTCTTATCCTTTATTCAGCTTCTCAGATCTTTTTCTTTTTTTAACTCCCTATGATAATTTGAATCCTTGAATTTTTCATCATCCTCTGCTCTCGGTGAAATTCCATTGCATCAATAGTAGTACAGAAGAGCAACATGTTGCTAATTATTCTGATTATTGTTGGATTTGTACTTTTGGAACATTTTTCTTTTTAGCTTTCTGCATGTTTTCGTCTGAATACTATAACAGTAGTTAATGTATTTGGTGCCCAAAATATAAATGTATATATATATATATATATATTAACATATTTCATTTGTATATCTTGTCCTATAAATGTCTTTATTTTCTAAATTGGGTAGAAATTTAAATAAAAAAAACTGGCAGCTGTCCTTTGGCTGCTTGTAGAAGGCTTAAATGTTCATGTCTGCCTTGTTTTAACTTTTGTCTGGCATTTAATCTGAACATACTTATTCAGCATCCTTTAATAGCATATTTTCTATCCATACCTTACAGAGTGATAAATCCACACATTATCAAATGTCTTGCTTGTATTTGCAAAAAAGTTCACTGTATTGCACTCAATAGCATGGCTACATCTCGGAAAGGCAGCAAAGACTTGCAGAACAAACCGCATTCAGACAATATCTACAGTTATCAAAAATAGCTTCCTTTCAGACCTGTAAAAGTGATCCCTGGGCCAGTATCTTCGGGAGCCTAAGCCTGTGATTTTGCTCTTACTTTGTTTCCTCTTTGGCCATGGTCTTCTTGAAAGTGTCATGAAAGCCAGCGTCCGATACGACTAAGCTTGTACAGTTAATTAATAATGACTTTGATGTTGGTGGATATAAGAGAATGCTACATGCACGAATGAGAGTGAGTGTGTACTAGATAAAAAAGAAACACATATGAGTTTAGTAAGTTAAGTGAAGTCCCTGCATCATCTGGAGCTGTTAATCAACTTCAGATGTGATCACAGAAGCTGTGGACATGGCATGCATGCATGATTCACCCAGTGGGTTGAATGCCTGTTTTTATGTTTGTAGACTGTAATAGAGGAGATGATGCAGGGCTAAGTGGTACACTTTTGAGGTTTGGGTGGAGCTTCAGTTGTTCATCAGAGATATTTATACGCTGGCATATTTACAAACAACAGGGCAGTAGTTCCTTTTATTAATGAGTAGTTAAGATCCACATGCCCATGATAATTTATGGGCAAAATTACATTACTGACTTTAATAATCTAAGGTGTAAATGGAAGCTGTATTAAAATGTGCATTTGTGTATTTTTCCACAGCAACACAGTGAGTTTGTCTCTGATTTGGTGCACTGCTCGGATACAACTAAGGCAGCATTTAAGAAAAATGGTGACACAAGAAAGCTTACCATAATTATTGATCTTTTAATCTAGGTTTTAATTTCAGTGATCCATAACTCAGTGAAATAATATATTGGGTCACAGAGTTTATTTAGTTCTTAAATACTTCACTTTCTTCTCCCCAATGCTGTGTAGCATGCAGTGGATTTGGCAGTGTCTTCAGAGCACCCAAGGGTGCTGACGTCATAACAGAGGCCCTGTGGTGAGTTCGATCCTGTGATGTATTTATGCTCTGCACAGTGGTCTGATTATGTGGCCCAAACACACATCCCAGCTGTAAGCCTGCTGTACCCACAGTGCCCTTAGCTATTACATGAACAGCCATGCAAATGTAATGTATAAGTGTCTTGGTACAAAAAAGCACAGAACACTAAAATACTTTAGATTCAAAGACATTTAAATGTTTGCAAATGTTCCTGACCCTAACTTTAATTGCAAGGCCTACTATTGAACAAGTAATACTGAAAGAGGGGTTGATTTATTTATTCTTATGCCTTGACATATTCTATTTCTAGGTGCAGAAAAAACCCAGATAGATTCTAATTAGAATTCAGGACATGTGTTTTTTATTCCACTGACATGAAGTCAGTTTTTCAAAGAACATCATGCAAAAAATAAAAGGGCATAGAGTAAGAAGAGTTGCAATCATCTATTCAAAATACAGACTGCAGCTACAGAAGAGAGCATTTTGAATCCAGCCAAGCCAATATCTCTCTATTTTCTGTAAACTTAATTTATATTGAGCGAGATAGATAAAAACATGGGATGACGTAAACTGGTAATTCTTACTCCCCTGTAACTTTTATGTTGAAATTAGGTTCTTAAATAGATACATCATTTAAATGTATTCCCAGTGACACCTACCGATAGAACTGCAGTTCATGAACATATGGATAAGGATCGACAGGGATGCCATCATCAACCAACCTGATATCTTGCAGCCATACACTTCAAAGCGCAGTGCAATTCCTGTTTCCCAGGTAACAGGACGTATCCGGACAAAACGTGTCAGTGTTGGTTTGGGCAGCATCGCCTTGACGTTGTCTGTAGGGTTGGTGTTGCCTTGGAATACCTTAGACAGTGAGACAAAAGGGGAAGCTCATTGGCAGGACATGCTTAGCTGTATCTATAATGTAAAGGTAAAGTTAAACCAGAAAGAGCTGTTCCTTGGAAACATCTGTGAGAATGAACAGAGCAGAAAATGTTCAAGGTTCAAGAAACTGGAAAAAGTAGCAAAAAATAGCTGAAGAACACATTTTAATGTGGCAGGAAAAGAGCAAGAGATAACTAATTTTTCATATTTTGAAGATAAGCAGAAGGAAAATAACAAAATAATTTGATTTAGAACAACAAAGGCTTCTATTTTTTTGTTCTAGTAGTCAAAGTAGTAATGTTCATAACAGTTTAAGTGGTATGTTTAAATGCAATGGGGAAAATGGAAAGCTCAGGACCATTTAAACACAACAAAATGAAAAAGTCAAAGGAATAACCAGAATACTGTTAATCTGCTGAATGAAGGCAGCACAATACTGGAAAATCTCAAGCTGTAACTAAGTTCAAGTTAAAAGGGCTGTGAGGTACATTTGAACCCAGGAATGTTGTAATTACATTGACGATATAAACAAATGTATTTTATACTTCAATGGGAAAAAAAGGTGTGGCTTATTGGCGCAAGCTTGCGTTAACCTGCGTCACTGCGAATAATGTATTCAGAAAGGAGGACAGCAGACCCATTTGGGAAAAGAAGACAACCCCTCCGTTTGTGGGCAGAACGGGGCATTCTGGTTCATGAAGCTACTTCCATGTAGCTTAGCCTATAAACAGGAGCAATCAGCCCCTCACATCTATTCTCAGCAGTCTCAGGTGCTTCACTATCTGAATAACAGACAGAGCAACTTTCAGTTTTCATGAAAAGTTCACCCAAAACTAATGGTTGCTGTTCAAAAACTATGAGTCATTTCTGAAAAACCTAAACCCTGTGTGCCAGGAGGGATTCAGGAAGGTGTTGATGGATTTCCTTTGTAAATCGAGACTGAAATGTGCTCATGATTTAAAAAACATGCCACTTTTCTGAACTTTTCTGGTGGACTTGACCACTTTTTCACTGCTCATTATCTGAAAGAGGACAAGTTTAGTTCTGTTTAGTTCTGTTTAGTTTAGATGTGAAAAGTTTAGAGGATTTGAATCTCCATTAATTTCAATGAGGGATATAATTACAAAAGTTAAATCATTTGAAAAGTTTAAAAGATTTTAGCCCTGATCATTTGAACCATTCAGCGAATAAGCTGATCCTTACTTATTGAAATTAGTAGAAGTATGTGGAAGAAGTATAGAACAATAAAAAAACAGGATAAAAAAACAGAGAGGGATTGCCGACAGGGGCAGCTTTTATTTTATGAGGCTAAATTGTGAAAGGAAAAAGGTGCTCATTAATGAGAAGTTTAACTGTTGTGCTTGTAAATGCTCCTGCACCTTCTCTTGCACAACATGCTGCAGCTGAAGTTGACCAAAACAGACCAGAGAAAGACTGTGAAACCTGAGGCTGGATGTTTAACAGTGACAACATTGGCTGAAGATGGCCTTTCGCTGTCCCCTGCTTTCAGATCTGGTGTAGGTTTTACTGCAGTGTTTTACTGAAAGGTCACAGATGTCAGTGTTCTCTCCCAGGGTCTGTTCACGGTTTACAAGCATTATACATAATCCCACCTCCAAGCCAAACTCTACACTGTCTCAAAGATGACCATTGAGCTTCCTTGACTGAGATATTATGGGATTGTGAAGAACTCAACTAGGAAAGGTGGACAGAAGTAAAGATGGAAATGAAGGTAATCTGGAATGGATTGATAGTTTATTTATTAGGCAGTACAGCTGCTATGAACTTGTACAGTATTTATCGACTAAAGGGGTTGCTCCATTAGTACCTACTCAGCCGTACACAGCTCTCCATGCCTCTGCATGACTTGGTTTTCCATTTCAAATTAGGGCCGACCAGAAACACAGGCCGACCATCCTGTGAAGTCTTTTATACACGAACCAAGCGTAACAAGAAAAGACATTGCTACAACAATATACTGACTAAATGTCAGTGTTGAACCATGACTGCCATGGTGTTGAACCATAGTGTTGGTCTGTGTATTAAGCATTTGCAACATTGATGATAATAGAATAAATTTAATTGGATTTTCGATTGCGCCGGTTTAAAAGGGGTAGGTTTCACATGAAGAAGTAGCTATGGAATCATGTGACTCCCGGGAAAATTAGTGCTTGGCAGTCCGCTGATGTCACAACTCAGTTGGACAGAACCGGGTAGGCACTAAAGTTGTAACTGTTTAGTGGTGCCAGTCCCTAGTGGAAATGAAAAAGAAATATGTGGAGCCATGCCATGCTCTCGGTATGAGTAAAAAAGCACCATTAGAGACCCGGCCACAGAGTCATCCAGTTTCTTAAATGCCACCCGGAGTGCACTCTCCAATCGCTAACTGGAAAGTGGCTTTTTCTAAAACTGTGCTAAGAAGGCAAACTGCAGGCTCAGCATGTCGAAATTGGTTGCACTTCCACACAGCACTTTAGAAAATGGAAAAAAAAATCCAACTGCTGCTTAACAGAAGGAGCAGTGTACACTGGAGAAATCATAAAAGAATCAGACTTAGGGACATATATATAAAGTATCACTTGATTGGATGGAATGTTAATGTAAAGAATTTAATTGTTTTGGTGGTATTTCATTCAAAGCAGGCACACATACATGGGGGTTGCTTTTCCCTGCCCCTCTGGATACACACAACTGAGGATGTGCTAGACTTCAGATGGACAAAACCTGATCTTTTTGACAGGCTAATCGGCAGTCAATGGTTAAAGATTGCCATGCTCCAGTCAAGCATGCCAGGCTTTCCTTTCTGCCTTTTTTGTCTCTGTCCACTGGACCCACCTCCACCAGCTGCTCAAACATGACATGCTCAGCTGTCACCCATCTATTCCAATCACATTTCGCTGTTGTTTGTTAAGTCTTTTGTCATCACTGCTTATCTTACGTCAAGTTGATGGGAACCTGACATAAAACCGTGGCCTTCTAACACAGTCCTCGTTATGGATATTTTTTTATTTCTACTTATAATATAATCGGATAATGCAGCCAATGAGGACTTCATAACAAAGACCAAAGTGTACAACTATACTTGCAGAGCTTTAATACATGGCGTTGGGCAATTCTGCTTTTGTTAACTTTAGAGGCAATGCAATCACAACTCCTGTCAGCCAACTCAGTTAAAATTACTCTAGATTTGCATAGGTGGTTTTAATGATACAGTCACTGATGATGGAGATTAACAATTCCAAAGGATTTTTTCAAAAGTCTTACATGAAACAAACTGCTGCAAATGTTGACAATTTTTCATCAAAATAATGTATTCTCTACCAGTACATTTGAACCATTCAAAGCAGAATGAACAATTTTACAAAATGTAATTTTGGTTCACGTAAAAAACGATTTTTATGTTGTTGTTGTTGAGTGACAAATTATGGAAGATGGTAAAAATATAAATGTTAAAGAATACCTTCTGTTTTGATCCCTCTTTCAAGGTAATCCAGTCCTCTCCATTAGAGCTGACATCTACTTTGTAGGACTTGACAAAGTATACCTTCTGTGTCTCCTGGGATATGGCGCCCTGAGTGCCAATGGCTGAAACAAATCTCAAAAATCCAAGGTCCACCTGGGGAGAATAAGAAAGAGGAGCCTGAGAAAAAATGCTTGAATAGTATCTATCATGGGAAAAATCCAAAGCAGCTTTAATTCACTTTTCCAGGGCACACAGTTTAAATGTACGTAAATGGTCCTTTAATTGTGTCAATAACTTTGGGAAAAAGCCTTTATTGCAAAATTGGTAAGGAAATGACACGCACAAGCTGGGAGGTAAAGCATATAGCAGTTCAGTCAGAATCACCCCTGGCCACATTTTCAACAGCTGTTACCTGGAATTTAATAAACATCAAATATTATGATACTCACATTAATGGAAAACGACACAGGCTGACATGTGAATTTCCTGAGATATGAGTCAAGGGCTTATTGGATAAAAGTGAATGCTTAATAAAACAGGGTCTGCAATCACATTATCAAAACTGGCCAAGAGGAAAGAGTTATACAGATTGAATATCAATATCGAGAATTTGATATACGCAGGATTTTATAGACTGATCATAGACTGCAGTGCATTACTAGAGGGCTATCACATTCTTTCCAGGAGACAGCCAGAGATGGTGGGGTCAAAGAGGCACATGAATGAGAGTCTCAGTGTAAGTATTTTTATTTATATGTTTTTATCTGATGTATGTGTGCACAAGATTCAGAGATAATACATATTAGATAGAAACTGCTTTACCTCCTACCTGCCAGCAACCATGCTTTCTCACAACCATGATCCCCTCTGACCACATGAACACAGATATACACACATTTCTATGTCATCTTATCATCTGTTTCTGTTGCAAGAATAGCCTTTGGACAGACTTCTGATCATATCAGTGTTGCTGCTTGAAATTATTGAGACTTCACATGTATGAATGAGAAGGCAATATGGCTTGTTCTGCACCTCGTGCATTTTTTTTCCCCAAGTGATAACAAATGTGTTTCTCCTGAGAAATGTGAAGGTACTTAACCCTGGGTCCTATGCTCTGATCTATAACAGGTGAAAAACATTGTAAAGTTGCAAACCCAAACAGTGTTTAATGATTTCAATAGCTCTGAGTAAAATAGGTCTGCCTTATTTCAACAAGTTTTAACACCACCTCTGACAGTCTAAGCTTATATTAAAAGGATGCAGTGCTATTGGTGTCTGATGTTGGCATGATATGGGAAGAGGGTCTGATGAATCTACAATCTTGAGGTGATTACTGAACTTAATCAGAGAAGATCAGCTGTGTGTGCATTCGCATAGCTGTCTTAGTATGAACAACATTGAAATCCTTCATGCAAAAATGTGAGAACATTCTTTTTTTTTTTAAATCAATGGTTATTTCTCTCCCAAAAAATGGACAAAGCTCCAGTATGTTAAAACCTGTCAACATACATGTACCAGGAAAAGAAAATCTGCATGACCTAAAACGCAGCTCATTCCTGACCATCAAATTGTCCCCCTCAAGTAAATAGACATGAACAGATGGGGGCAGTAAATGAGATTCCAACATATTCTCCCAATCTCTCTTGGTTTCTTTAAACGATTTGGATGAATGGAGACTTACAAAAAAGTTAGAGACACATGATACAAAGAAGAATTGTTTTGTGTCAACAGGCTTAGAGACTTTTGCAGTAAGTCCCATATAAACCCCATATTTTCTTTGAATCCCCGAATAAAACCAAAATCAAATCCTGTCAGTGTCAGTGTCAGACATCTCCCATGTAATAATATGAGAGCTGAAATACTGTTTGTAGGACAAATTGCTGTATGTGTCTCTTTCTTGCTGGCACAGCTTGGGAAAACATGGATGGAATTATTGATATTAATCAATGGCATTAGTGCTTACTGTAAATGCTTTACTTAAAATACCTAATTTGAAAGATACAAATCTTTCCCATTAAAGAATCTAATTGGTGAATTAAGAGTGTCTTGTAATAAAATAAATGGTGGGGTTAGGTGGAAACAATCATACATGCTCAAACTAAAATAAATAGGATAACTGATATATGGCTGATTAGATAAGTATTGGACTGATAAAAATTCTGAATCAGTATTCTGGATATAAAATTTTTATTCATATTTTTCAGGTGTTCTCTGGCATTTGGTTTTTAGTAAATCCTCTACACATTAGCTGTAGGTCTGCAACAAAAAAGAAGTAGAGAAGTTGAGTCTGATGGGGTACTTTAAGTATCAAAATTGATAAGTACGGTTTCCGAGACCTTTTGTATCATTTAATGGTAAAAAACTTTCTTCAAGACCCTGTTGTACAGAATCAGATATACCTGAAAAATGTGGGTAGAAAACTATATGATTATAATAATTATAATAATTTTGACTTATTACACATTCATAATTTCTGAATATTCCAAAATAATTTATGTTAATTGTTTTATTCATATTTTCTAAAAGGGCCAAATAAAGACTTTTAAAAAATCTCCATTATTTCTTGGATCAGGCTTTATAGCATTAAAGTTTTGGGCATAAAAGTTAAGTCCTTTTAATGTGCAAGTCTATCACAATCTCATCCCATCTGCGATGGATGGAAGAAAAAATACAGCTATGGTACTGATGATAAAAAAGAGTTCATAGAAAAAAACAGGAAGAAGACAAAAGTGCATAGAAGTAACTGTGATGCCTTGCAAGATGTAGAGGACAGAAGCACTGGATCTCCAGTAACAGTGTGTGGACTAGATCAATTTCACAGACAGGGGCTGATAACAGGGCCTGGGTAATGAGCAAAGCATGATTTATTAATGGTTGCTTGTTAGAGGCAAAAGAATGATGCTGAGGTTGTGCTAACATACTGAGGTTGCACAGGTCAGAGAGAGAATACGGGCCGCTAGGGTGCTTAAATATGGGGTAAAGTCCATTATAAACCACAGAGCCCACAAAAAAACAACAAAAAAAACTGGATAATGGTCTCTTGTGGAACTTATTTTAACCCAGTAACTTGGACGGCATTTACTGACTTCTATACATAGATACAGCTAAATCATTCTCAATGACTGGAGTAATCACTTGGCAGAGGGTGTGAATTACATCTCCCTATGTATCACAGGTGTTTTTCTAGAATTTACTGATCTAACATTTACCTCATTGTTAATATTCCAGTGAGAACATTTGGAATAAAGCCCAACTATAAACAAATGACAAAAAAGATTCTGGGCATGCTGATGCATCGTACCTTATATTTGAAAGGACCACACAACCTGAGTCATAAAAATGTCAGGTATAGTAAGAAATCATCCATGTTTCAATAAAGCAGTGACAGACTGTTTTATTAACATGTCCTTGTCTCCTAGCATTGTTTCCTGTGAGTGTAGTCCAAAAAGTGTTCAGCTCACGCTCCTTGTGTGTGTGTATTCACGTGTATTCTTGGTGTTTTTTAACTTCCTGTTATAAGTTTACATAATAATAAAAAACGTATTGCCTTAGAATAGCCAAAGTGCAAAGTTTTAGTTTCAAGAGGTACTGAAACCAGAAATGTAAGAATTTATTATGCTTGGTAGGGTACCACCAGCCAGTTACAGCCTTGGCTGTATGCAGTTAGATCAACAAGCTAAAATTAACAATGGCTATTCAGTGTCATAACAGCACCAAGTATTTATGAACGTTTGTGGAAGCTTTGTTAAGCTTCAAGGTAATTTTACAATTTTGTTTAAATGGCAATGATATATTTGGGTGTGATCATTCATTACTCATTCTGCTGTTTTGCTATATGATTTAGATACCGGGATGCATGAATTAAATTTACGGCTAAAGGCTATTCATTGGCGAGGTTCTGCAAATAGATGTGCGGTTTACAAATGTGAGATCATTGATAGACAGCATATTAAAAGACCATCAAAACACTTCCCCCACTGCTTGATTGACTGAGTTGGAAAGAAGTTACATAGAAAGATCTGCACTCTGAAAGAATGCAAGGTACATATTTTTCTCTTTAATCCATTTCTCTGCTTCCTCAACAGGAAAAAATAGCTTCCCATCCGCGTGTGTAGCTCTGTGGGCAGTGGCAGACTGAATATCCAATGCCTCTGGGGAATGACTTTATTTGTTTGCCCTCCCCAAAAACAACAAGAGAAGTTCTGATGGTGACAAAGAAGAGAATGCTCCTCTGAGTTCCAAATTCAGCAAACAGCTGGTTGTCAGAGATGGAGGCCATGGCCCAGCAGCTTCTTTGGTGCACGTTAAAAAAGCCTCTTGGTATTACTTATCAACTGTATTACAAAACCTGCAGAAACTATGACTTGCACTCCTAACTTGCCGTTTATCACGTTATTCACATGACAGAGGTAATGTTTTTATTTATAGCTTTACTGTCTCCTCTTTGGTGGGATTTAACAACTGTCATATATACACTACTCATCTTTCTGTAGTGACAATGACAGATGTATAAGTCATTTGACAGTGGCAGCAACTCAGAAGGTTGTGTGTTTTGTGATATGTGAAACATATTTGTGTTCAGCTACAGATATACTACTGCATGGTTAGTTTACAGTCCTGGCTGTAAGAGAAAGGATTGTTGTCTCATCTGTGAATCATTCACACTCCAGGGTCACACATGACTGATGAGCTGAGTCATGATTATGAAACCACGAACGGGACGAAAAGGGTGACTGAAGGGATGTCATGTCTGGAAAGTAGTTGACCATCCCTTTTCCTTTTGTACAGTAGCTGCATATGATTAATTGGGGAAGACTACTGACTTCTGTAGTTGCTGTTATTTACCAGTCCATATTCTAATTACTCATCACTCGGCAGAGTGGTAAGCCCTGGAATGAGGACAAAATCAATGTGAGACTATGGAAATTTGGGAATGTTTTACAAATATCTGACCTGAGGTAATGAGAGCATATTTGGATGAGTCAGAAAAGAGGATATGGCAAACCCAAGCTTGTTTATTATCAAAAATTAGCCTTTGCAGAGGATCAGAGCTGCATTCTACCCAAGTGAGAGTGCAAGTAAATATTGTTGTCTGCTGATTTATAATTTTTTTGTCTCAGTGATCTTAGGAAACGGGTTTAAGTCATCCCAACCCCATAGTATAATCTGAAATACTAACTAACTTGTAATCCTATCGTGGTGTTGTTACTGAGTGACTTTACCATTGATATAACATATCAAATATAATATAAAAAAAAGATATATAAAGGGAAGGTGAAAGACCTTTTCACATGGTTGTTTTATCTCTTTTTATAAACAAACAGAGAAGCGTAATGAATGTGATGTGCATAATCCACCCACATCTTTAAAAGTGTTAAAACTGCTGTGTATTAACACAGACCTGTTTGATTGGCACTGGGTGTAATGAATTAAAGAATATTAATAAAGAGTATGACAGGCTCAATACATTGCTGTTAGAAGTATAATTATTTATTGGTCTGGGCCCCCTTAAGTGGTCACCATGTTTGATGACGTATGTTTGTGTGGTAACCATGTTGTTCGAGAGTGGCAGTGAAGATTATTTAATTAAAACCTGCATGGTAAAGTGTGCGTGCTCTGTGAGAAGTTGCCATTTTTTTGGTCTTTTATATTTCCCCCAGTAGGTAATCAGAGACAAAAATACTCTTGCAGAAGTCAGGAATGATGCACCCTAACATGAATACTAAAAATAAAAGAGAGAGTGATGAAAAATTATGAGTATGTATGGAATAAGATATATGTATTCTAATATGAACTGACCAATTAAGAGGGTTTTGAGTATTGACAGTTTGGTTCTCCTCAAGGCAGACTGAACTATTGATGTTGTGAGTATGTGCAATCAATGGCAGATGCCTGACAGAGATTCAGTTTTGCAGTTTCACAGTGTTTGATTGGATCATTCAGATGCTGTTGTGAATGTTGGTGGCCATCAGATCCTTCCTACAACATATCTGACAAAATCATTCTGCATGATGTTGATGTATTTGCAAATTCTCAGAGTCCCTGAGGAAGCATTATGTTAGTCCATAAGAATGGCCTACCTTCCTCTTCATGATAAATGTGCTGCAAAGATGCAGGTATTTCCTTGGCAGTGCTGTGTGAGTTCTTTAAGCAAGAGACAGGTTATTGACCAACTAGTCTTGTCTACCTTGATTTATTTTTGCTGCAGTGAGTTCCACTGCTTATATCGTCTATTTCAAGAGAAAGTATACAACACAGACAGATGTGAACAAACCTCTCCTACCTGAATGCTAAACGTTAAACCTGATTTTTTTCAAAAGAAGGCATGGGAGAAAGTGAATAAAGGTCTATAAGAAAACTATTCTTGAAAGACTAATAAAAAAGTAAAGGGCACTCCTGTTTTTAAAAACTTTTGCCTCTTTCATTGCTTCCTCTTCCAGCCAAGCACGCCTTCCCAGTATATCTGTCTATCTCTGTGTATACCAAGGAACTGATTAATAACGTAGCTAGCCCACTACTCAAAGCTGAACCATACTACACAAATCAAATTAGTGAGTGAAGAACCAAAATATGCAGCAGCATATACCCCTTATCTCTATCCATCAGCATGAGGCCACATTTACATGTATCAAAATTTTGGATTGAGTTGGCAAAAGAAAAATAAAAGCAGAACAACAGAATGAATAATAAAACTGCCATCCAGTAAAAATCAGATTCTTGTCTCAAGCCAAATCTTTCATTTGATCAATACTTTAAGAGAGAATCTGAGAGGAAACATGTTTTTGTTATTGCTTCCAATTCCTGATGAAAGATAATGGGGAAACCTGAAATATACGCTGTTACCCTTTAACACACATATTTGAATTTGAACAATAGATTTTTTTTCACTGAGAGACTTATTTACTATTCATTATTTAATATACCATCATGCTGCAGGAGGTAATGGTAAGAGAGACTATGATTCTTCCTGATCTGCTTAGAAACATGCTGGTATCCTTTGCAGGGCAATGTGGCCCAAACCAGATCCTTAAACTCCCCCAGACTGCCAAACATGCAGACACAAACTAGAGCATGGGAGAATGGACATAAACCTAAGAACATATGCAGTCACACTGATTAAATTAGTACGAAGGAGAAACGATGACCCCCAAGACAATATCTTCATTGCAATAATAAAAGAAATGCTTACTTATTACCCTCCCCAGGCAAATATTTGGCTTTGGTTCAGCTCTATTATTCATCCCTTGAGGAATACGCCTGGGCTGAACTTTTCAGCAATGAAGCAAATTCAGTAGAAAAACAGTCTGGGTATTTACAAGGCTTGGAGGCTTTAGGTTAATAAATCAAAGAAACTACAAATGCTAGTAGGTAGTCCATGGGATGCGAATGGACTTGGGATATGTGTCTTACTCCTATCAAGGGATAAGGAAACTGAAGCCATAATCTTCCTACATAAAGTTGCCTTGGTGGGTGATGATCACTATGAAAATAAGCTTACAGAAAAAAACATATTTGAGTCACTTTATGTGTTTTAGTGTGCAATAAATCTATGGCAGCTATACTACCAAGAAAAGAAAAAGTGAACAGGTAGGACATAAAGACAGAAGAAGAGAGGTCAAAGGAAAACTTGGTGAAACTCATTTATCGAAACTGACACTCAGCATAACATTTCTGTGGAAATCATGGAGAAGTTAAATCACAAAGTGACTCACTTCCAAAAACATGTTTTTGAAACGAAATGGAGAATTATTGATTTTTCTGATGTCATTTGCCTTCCCTCTGTAAATGACAGCATATTTCAGAAAACTATTATGTAAATAAATAAGTACTCTTTTTGGTATGAAAAGTGGTACCTGTATCCATTCCTTATTTGAGTCCTCTGCTGGCGTCCATGCATTTTCATAGTAGTTAAGTCTCGAACGTTCTGGGGACCAGCTAGGATTGTACTGGGATGACACCATGATTTGGTCTGATGTTATCTCTCCCGATTCCATTCCCAAAGGGTCTCTACAGTCAAAGTCTGATAGGGATAGAGAAACAAATGAAAGAGAAAGAAGGCAGAAGAAAAGGGTGAGAGGGGAGAAAGTAAAAGATGTTGAGCTGATGTTGAGGATAAAGTCAGAATGCACTTTCAGTATCCCTAAGAATCAGAGCCAATCTCTGGGGAGGAAGCCACCACATGACAAGCACTCAGTGCTGCCAGCCAGAAAAGAACAGTGCATCATTAAAGCCTCAGTAAATCCTTTCTGTTTCTCTCTCAGCAGTTTTTAATGGAAGCCGTATCAAAGTATTCTGTATTAGGATGTTAAAATGCCTTTATAAAACATTCTGTGTAGCTTTTGCTGGTATTAGACGTAAGTTTGTCTTTCTGCCCAGTTGTTTTTTCCCCTATCTAGATGAGTTGTCTTTACTTTTCTGAGAACTGAACAATAACTTTTTGGGTGCAGTTTAGATTGGTTTATTATCTATATTTTGAGTTTATACATTTGACTCACTCGAAAAATAAAACAACCGTGTTGTTATGGAAGACACATTTTAAATCTTTGACTAAATACACTGCTGGATTAGTGTGGTTTTGACATATTTAACCCCTGGAGTTCAGAAATATTAATCCCTCTGTGGAGCAACCATTGGGATAAAAGAGTCAAACAAACAAACATTTGAAATCAATTGGGATTCTACAGTGACATCACAAATACAATCAATACATCCATGGACATAGATCTTCTTTTTATTGTTGTGTTCCCTTTTTCCTCCATTGAAAAAGTTATTACATATTCTTTTGTCTAATCAAATGGCCATGCACTTTTATGGAGACTCACATTCAGAAGGCTCAGGGCGAGGATGAGTGTGGAAGAGCTATGTAGCTGCTGCCTTAGTGATAACACAGATGGTCTACCCATCTGCCACACTGCTAGCACAAACTTAGTCAAGAGCTCATTGTGTGTCTTTGCATTTTACAATGTCAATGCACGGCTGCATATGCATGTGATCATGCATTTGAGCATGCATTCATGTATGTGAGTTTCATTCAATTAATTTCTCTGTGAATGTTTAAAGAAAGGACTGACGGAATGTCCAGGGTGTACTCCGTCTCTCGCCAATTGACCACAGGGATAGGCTCCAGTTCTCCCCGTGACCCCATTAGAGAACAAGCGGTAACGATAATGGATGGATGGATGGATGTTTAAAGACAACTCTGTCTTTGTCTTTTCATCAGACTGTTTTCCTTTCCGTTCTTTTTTAAGTTAGCTAACTTTAAGTTAAGTTATTATTAACTGTTGTCAACATAAACAAAGATGTGTCTGTTTGCTGCTTAGGGTATTTGATCATGTGGATTATCAAGCATTGCAGGGTAGATAGCAAAAAAAGAAAAGAAAAGAAAAATAAGCGGTGGATGGTGGGGAATGAGAGCAAGAGAAACTTAATACAAAAAACAAGTTTTTTTTTCAACTACATTTTATAATTTCTCATCAGTATCTTTCAGTTACAATGTATCTTTCTCCTCAGCATGCAAGGGATAAAAAATCCACTGTGTTTTATGCATCAGGGGATTATGAAAGATTCAAGTGATACTAGCCTGAAAGAGCTACAGCAAAGTTTGAAGTTTTTTCTCTCTTGGATATGTCTGAATTTATTATGTAAGATCAAGCAACTAATTCATACATTGAGGAGTTGACTGGTCAAAGGTCAGATAGTTTGTGAATGTAAACCATTTATATTGCCAAATTTGATCACGTCCATGTGTCTTAAAGAAATATAACCACCACATGTAATGGCAGAAAGATTAACTTAATCAGAAATTAAACAAAAGTGGTCAAACTTTTCTAGGATTTGTGTTAGGGGTAAGGTTCATATGTGTCATGTGTCTTGCCTGTGCATACGTTCTTGAAAGTCCTAAATTATTATTGTGAGTTTGAAATTGAATGTTTAATTAAGTTTATAAGGGCATTTTTATCTTTGTATATTTTGATTTTTTCTTATAGGCAAGGTTCTGTATAAAATAACTTTTTGATTTGCACCGTAATTGAAAAAACAACTGAAACTTATTATTATATCACTCATACTGTTTTAAAGTTTTAATTTCCAAGTATTTCAATAGATACCCTTTAAACGGTTAATCGTGTATGTGTTACACTTGCTGTATCTGCATGTGTGCATGTTGTCAAGACCAAATCCTTTTTAGCAATGGTTAATCGACTTGTTGAATGTCATCCAGCTGGGTTACTATTCAAAGACGCATTGCATGTTTTTGTGTATGGGGTGGTCTTGCTCACAGACAGATTTATGAGTCTTACCAGAGCCTGACTTTGTAAATGAAATGTTTAGATGGAGCGTTTTGCAAAATGGGGTCATAGGGGTCAAGCCCCATGACAGCGATGTGGCATGTTAAAACCCTAGGGGTATGTGTAAGTGTGTGTGTCCAGGCTGGTAACTAATGGGGAACGCTGCCTTTTTAAGCCTGCATGGAAACAGTGTGTAAACATAGGTCTTGTAAAATGCAAGGATGAGGAGTTACCCTCCAACACAATCTCTAAATGAAGAAGAAGGCAGTGTTTATCTAACAACAGTTAAACTGTCAAATAGGATGGAATTCTCAAAACAGGCTATCTGCTTCCTGCTTGTTTTAATGGTCCTTTGTTGGGTTCTTTCCTGACCTGTTTTTTTTTACAGTTTGTTTAAACTCCAACTCATGTGAGTTTTTTTGTGTTTCTCTGTTTTCCTTAATAAACTGTTTTCACTTTCTTAATATGCATATTTGTTTTATTTCAAGTGTTTCTGTGCCATCTCACCCTCTGGAACAGTCCTTTCAATGACAGTGAAGTTGGCAGAAAAGCCTTCCTTTGCAATGGCGCTGTCAGTGTTGATTGTCAGGGCCAAAATGCCAGTGTAGGAGATGATCCTTCCTGGAGTGTTCTGCCCACAGTACCTTCCAATGTAAGGCCCGACTATGGAGAGACAAGAAAAGAAAATCACAAATATTTTTCCATGATCAGGCTTGAGTTAACTCAGTATTTGTTTGTTTGCCACAGCCATGTCTCAAACTGGTTTAACTATTAACTCCCTTTGAGTGAACACAAATTAATCATTGAGGTGTCGTATTGACTGGGATTTTTTCTTTATCACTCAGACCCCATAAAGATCCATGAGAAAATCCTCTGAACATTCCGAGCCTGCTTGCTAGTTGGACACAAAAGGACCATTGAGGCACCTGTAGTGTGGAGGAGGTCACACTTCTTGTCTCGCTGGCTCCGTTTCCTAGCTGTAAATACCTACAACCCCCTGTATTCAATCTTTAGGTCAACAAAGTAAAGACCCGGTGGATTTTTGAAAGAGTCCAGAGTTACACAGACAGGTCACAGATAATAGGGGAGCAGTAAAAGATACAAAGCTATAAAAACAAAGAAAAAGGTACTTGGACATTAGGGGGAGACAGAGGAAGAAAGAAACTCAGAGAGAAGTTAGAGTAGTGAGGGAAAGAAAAGAGCAATGTGACCTTGTCCCATGTCTTTGATGTGTGCTATGATCCATGCACATTTATGAGTGTGCATTCCTGTCAGTGTGTTGGGACCTGCAGCTTATCTGTGATTAGTAATGCTGTGATCAGCGGCGAGTGACAATCCTGCCTCCCTGCGGCCTCCTGTCATCCAAAACATGCCACTTCTAGCCCAGCTCTGACATGAAAGGCATATGCCGCAGGGAGTTATGGGCCATGGTGTGACGGTTCAGATTAATTTTTAGAAACCAGGTGCCTGCTGTATGTCTGCAGGAATACTATGTGCCTTTAAACCAAGCAAAGCCTTGGTTGCACAAAAAAAGTAAAAGAAAAGCTATCTATTGGATTATCTGCATGCCTCCCCTGCTCTATGAAATTTTAAAGAACCTTACTATGAACTCTGCTTCCCACAGCTTTTTTCAGGAAAGACAATTAAATAAAAAAGGGGGAGAAGAGGTTTTAACACAGAGCCTGCCCAGTGAGGTGTACTTGAGTGGTCTGGATAACCGGAGGTGTGACTCCCTTGTTGCTTGCCTGGACATCTCCCACCTCGGCACACTCCAACTGCTAGCATGTTTCCAGCCAACTGTGCTAATGCACTATCGATCTAGCAGGCACAACGGGAACCACCTGGCAAAAACCAACACACTTTTTTCCTCCAGTGGTTTATTTTTATACACCACTGTCTGTCACACATTGCAACCCTTCAAAGGTGATGACATAAAGTGCTTGTGTCCAGTTTCTGACCTGGACAAGCTCACTAAAATTATTCAGATGAATCTCATTCCTATTTGTTTGGCTCAGACACACATGTGAATTTAAACTTATGTCTAAAAAACTTGATCAGTTCAAAGTAGCACAGGGAAAGAGAATTTTTCAATTGTTTTGTTAAAATTCTCTATACAACTGGTGACAATAAGGTTGCAAGTTCTCATCTTTCACAGTTTTTGAGAGTTTTCTCAATCAATGCAAATCTTGAAATAAAACATCCTAAGGAGAGAAAATAAAAATGCCCCATGAAAGGGCAACTGTGCAAAGTTACCATCAACAGAGTTGTGAAGAATAGGTACATTCACTTAAAAGAGGGCAGTGATTAATATTTCAACCGTATCACTGAGTGTGTAAATGTGGAGAATACAGATCTGCTCCAGACGGAACGCAGGCAGATAAAATTCTTTCAATTTTCAGCCACTGATGGGTGAGAGAAGCCTTCATCTTGTCTACACCCCTGTGTTCGAATAGCTGGGAGAAAAACTTTAAGATGTGTTTCGTTCAAAGGGTTCAAAGCGTTCAAAGTGTAATCTCAGGCTATGGAGGCATAGCTTTGAACACTACTCACCCCCTCTCAGCCTACCATCGCCTGCTGATTTTTAAGATGAATAGGACAGATTTAAAAATGCAATTACAAGGTAATGTTTCATTGTGTTTGTAGGGGTGGTTAGACACACTGTTACAGCCTCTGACTAAATGAAATCCACAAAGGGTTACAAACTCTTGTCGTTGATGAGCATTTAGCAATGAACATTAAAATGTTCATAGCTGTGAGATCTCTGTTTGAGTCTGATGAAAATTAATAGGCCACTGATCGCCCACTGACCTGGATAACATCGTCATAACATGTAAACGTGTTCATCTTCTTAGGAAACACAATGGAACCCATCATTCACCTCAGCAATATTCACTTGCTCTAACTCCAGGGTAGAAGATGTGCAAAAAGAGAAATAAGGTACAGTTTACCATCTTTAATGATTGGTAAAGAGAGCTCTGAGTGTTTACATTTACAACTTTATTTGCTGGTTACCATATTTATGTTTATTTAGCTATTAGTTTATGGGAGTTTAAAAATGCAAACAAATATAGTTATGTAAATAGGAAAATCAATGCATCTTGATTATGGAGTGAATGAAAACCATTGCTTGTTGTACCTCTACGATTGACATGAAATCAAATGGACAAGAGTGACAAGAGAATAAAAAAAATCATTAGGATATGATCAGAAAAAAATTTACAAATGTTTTTTTTTCTTAGCTTCCACATTCTTTCCGTCATATGAAATTCAGAGAATGCTCACCTCCAGGGAAACCATCCCAAATCTCCAGACGATCATAGCGGCAGAAAACACCAGTTGGGGGTGTTGTGTCGGGCTCCAGTTCGAAGCTCTCAAACTCCAAAATGATTTCTGACATCTTTGGGGCAAATATCATGAAAGTGCAGTCCAGGTTGTTGGGGTATTTCTCTGGAAACCCAGGTGACTTTATGACACCGCTGTTGGAAGTGAAGTTCTTGGAGCATTCGGGACCTGAATAAACAATGAACAAGACAGGAAAAACAAAACAAGAAGTTAAAAATTAGCTGTAAAATGTTCAAAAGGGATGGAGGAGATGATTGGTAATACTAGTCTTTCATCTGATAAGTTTGACATGGTAGCTACCTTTTAGATCAAAAGCTTTGTTTCTGAAAAGTTAAAAAAATTAAAAGACATAGTCTCTTATACACACAAAATCCTTATGTCATGATTTGAGATTTTTTTATTTTTTTTATTGGGTTTTGTAGATTTAGTTCTGTTTCCGTGTGCCTTAGTTTTCTGTTTTATTCAGGTGTCTTTCCTCGTTTTATGTGTTGTTCTACTGCATCTCCAACAACTCCACTTCCTCTCAGTTCCTTCCTGTAATCAACTCTCCCTGTATTACCTGCTCTTCATTCAATAATCCCTCTTCCTATAAAAATCTCAATATTTGGTATTCGGCTCAATTTAGCTAGTTTTTTTCCCCGGTTTTTGGCCATCCATTTGAGACCATCATCATCTCCTACAGACCATCCATCCATCTATTTTCTGAACCGCTTATTCCCAAATGGGGTTGCAGGGGGACTGGAGCCTATCCCAGTAGTCAAAGGGCGAGAGGGAGGGTACGGTCTACCAGTCCATCTCAGGGCCACATAGAGACCAACAAAGACAAACAACCATGCACACTCACATTCACTCCTAATGGCAATTTGGATTGTCCAATCAACCTAATCAAGGAAAACGTACAAAAGAGTTTTGGTTCCCTGGGACCTGATCCAGGATCCTTCTTGCTCTTTTTTGAAGAACCCTCTTTCAAGCACAGGTCATCCTTGGAGCTTAAGTATTCTATGGAACAGGTGTTGAAAGTCACTCTTTGTAACTTAGTGGTTCAAGGCTATGCATAATGCAGATGGGGCAGGTTAACTTGTGCAACTGGCATGGAATTGATCCAGACCTGTGAGTGTTGGCCGCCAATCTTCTGTGATATGGCCAATCTATCTATCTATCTATCTATCTATCTATCTATCTATCTATCTATC